TCTTTAAAATTATTATTATTTATTTAATATTTCATTTTTTCTTTATTTAGAATTTATTATTATTATTGTTTAAAATTAATTTATGACTTCTTTATATTTCTTTTGTAACTACTTTTAAATTTACCTTAAATTGATTGAAGTTTGATTAGGATTATTAAAGATCACTTAAAATTTGTTTAAGACTCTATTGATTTTGATAGGATTGTTATTACATTTCTACTTACTTTCCACAACTAACTGCCTGATGCATTTTCAAGCAAAAATACACATAATACAACAATGCTTTTTCTTCTCTATTATTATGAATGGCTTACATTGAGTTGTATCAATTTGCATAGGTTTAGGACCTATTGAATGTTTTTATGATGTTCTTGAAGAAGTGGTAGTGGTACTATGATGTTAATTATTAAAATTCCATTGTCTTTCTTGTAGCAATTCAAATAATTAATTATAAAAAATTATAACTTGAAATATGAGTTCATCTAAATTATCGACTTGTGGCATTGTAATCAATAATTTTTTTATATTGTCTCTTAAATCATGTGAAAACCAAGTCATAATTGCCTTATTATTTCAATCAAGGTTTTAAGTAAATTATTGAAATTTTATAGCATAAATTATAGTTAAATGTGGTCCTTGTTGCAAGTTTTGTATCTTTATCTCTATCACCTTTTCTTGATCACTATCTCTAAATGCAACAATAAATCTTTCTATAAGAGCTTATATATTGTATAATATTATATTTTTTTTAATAATAAAATAAATTATTAATGAGTATTTTTTTGATAAAAAAATATCTACAAAATAACTTGAGTGAATTTATTTACATAAAAATAAAGATATAAGTGTCAAGGACAAGAACTCGATGAAAGCTAAAGAGTAAGTGAGACTTTTCTCAAAAAGAAATAGGACAAAATAGAAATATGTATATTAAGAAAGAAACTGGAATGGCTATTGCCAAAATACAAGAAAACTAGAGACCCTTGAAACTAGACTAGAAGCAAGAAAGGAGTTGACAAGAGTGAAGAGGGCTTCACTCTTGCCTCTATATATACTATCTAACTAGAAGCCACGTGGCGATGTTCTATAAGACCTCCAATATATGTTGACTTTCTAGGCCACATGCCTTTGCTTGCAAGGCAAGTTTTCTATGGATGGACCACGTAGTTAGCTTGTTCTTTAAGCTTCCAACATGTGTGGCACATGGCTAACTTGTTGACCAAGTTTCTAACCTAAAAGTCAACTATAGACTCCTATAAAGTCAAAGCAGCGTCTATGAAGCTTCTAAGAAGCTTCTCTAGAAGATATTACACAATTAACCTACTTTTATCTACTTTTACATACTTTTATCTATTCATATAGGTAATTATATGTATGTCCGTGACAATAAGTATAAGTAGAGTTGTACGTATAGTACAAAACTTTCAAAATTGAATTGTATTCTATTAAACTTGTCTCACATATTAGCCTTTTATTTCTTTATAATAGTTCTTAAAACATCTTTTGGAATCATATATATTATATATCTTGTACTTACTTCTCTCAATTGAACAACTTCTTGTTGTAAATTATGAATCTCTGATTTGGCTTCTTTAGATATTATATTAATCAAAGATTCATTACTTAGATTGTATAGAAATATAATCTCCTTTTGTAAGCTATTGTGAAGGCTTTGAAGATTTGCAAGAATTGCCACTTTATTCTCTATTTGTCACAATATGCTTTCTATGATCTAATCTAATTAGGAGCTATGTAGCAATATTCTGTAGGACCTTTGGCACATGTTTAATTTGCAAGATACATATCTTAACTTGTAAAGGTACAATCCTTATATGTGCACTACATCACAAGCTATTAACACGTGTGATACATGGCTAACTTGTTGGCCAAGTGTTTATCCTACCAATCACTTATATAGACATATAAAAAATGAAACTGTATCTATGAAGCTTCTAGAAAGCTTTTCTATAAAACATTATCAAATTTATTTCTATTTATTTAAGTAATATTATAAAATATTATCAAATATAAATCTATTTCTACCAATTTATATCATCTAAATAACTATAGGAGTAAATATGTATGTTAATGATAAAGAGCTATTGTTTATAGAATTATCAAATAATGCATTGAGATTCTTACAATCTTCAAGACGATGTATTAGAAATGAAGATCTTCAAGAATAACATGTTTTTTTTTAAATAGATAGTGAGATATAATATATTTAATATTATAATCTTAAAAGAAATTTTTAATATTTTAAAATATTATTAAAATTAGGAACCACTCTTAATGATATTTTAATTTTTTTTTATTGATATTTAAAATTACAAAGGCCTTAACAATAATAACATGTAAGATTAGTCGTCTTATTCTAGTATAAGACACTATTGATGGTTAAGAACCTATCAACTATCTTTAAGGAGAATAAAAATCAAAGTAAGTTACAAGTGCAATTTGTTGCATCTTAAAATTTTTGAACATGTGATTAATGCTTCTTATAGAACTTGTCCCTAAAAGAGGAGATAATGTCACAAAAATACATATTTATCTAAATAAGTAATATTAAGTAGTGCATAAATATAGATAGATTTATAATATTTTGTAGTAAAACTTTTTAAAAGATATATATATATAGAACATGATTATGTAGCTCTTAATTAGATAATATATATGGAAATAAGAGTAAAGCCTTTTTTACTCTTGCCAACATCTTTCTTATTCTTAGTTTGACTTCAAAAGTCTCTAGTTTTCTTATCTTTTGTAATAACCATTCAAGTTCAAATACTATACTACTTTTGAGTAAATATCTATTCTTTTTTTAGTGATACAAGAATATACTGAGGTTTTTATATTTTATTATTAATGTCCTTGATATATACTTTGGTTTAGAGGATATAAATAAAAATCAAGAAATATTATTTTAATATATAATTTTAAATTTCTATTAATTTAATTTTATTATTAAAAAAATAATAATAAAATCTAATATTTTATATATAAATGTAATATAGGCTTTCTTGTATATATAAAAATATATATATTAAAACTGATATCTAGTTTTTTTATTTATATAGCTGACAAAATATCATATATATATATATATATATATATATATATATTAATTCTAATAATTAATTAGATAGGTAGAAGTAAGTAAAAATAGACTAATTTGATAATATCTTATTGACAATCTTCTTAGAAGCAAATTCACCTTTATATGTGTCTACAAATGATTGATAGGTTGAATACTTAGTCAACAAGTTGGTCAATTATTGCATGTGTTGATAGCTTGTGGTATAAGCTAATCATGTGGTGTATACATAGGAAACTTTTCTAGCAAGCTAAGACATATGTCTTGCAAATTGAACATGTATCAAAGGTCCTATACAACATTGTCATATAGATTTTAGTTAGATAGTAAATATAGAGGCAAGAATAAAGTCTTTTTCATTCTTGTCAACATCTTTTTTGCTTCTAGTCTAGTTTCAAGAGTCTCTAAATTTCTTGTCTTTTGCAATAGCTATTATAATTTCTTCTTATATATATATTTTTTATTATCTATGTTTGATATTTATTTCACTTGTTTACGTATCTTCCTTGAGTTCATGCCTTTAATACAAATATATACCAAATTTAGAAAATTAATTTTAAAAAGAAACAAAGTAGATATTTTTTATCTTTAAGATTCCATAAGTAATTGCATTATGAGAGAAAAATAACATCACATAGTACTTTGGAGACTTAGACTACAAAGTATGTCCCTACAATAGTTGATAAACCTATAAAATAAAAGTGTATTATATACTCTACCTTATATTTTTAATTATTGAAATCAAATATATAATTATTATATAAGCATATAAAAAAGTATCATAGTTGAAAAGACTTATCTATGAGCTTTGCTTGGCATAATATCTAATTTTATTATATTAAAGTAGCTAAATTCTTATACATCTAGAAAAAGAATTAGTGAACCATTCTACAAAAAAATGTATAGAAGCTTGACATCATTACATTAAAAATATTATTTGTAATATCAAAAGCAACTTTAATAAGATTTTTTTTATTTTTTATTTTTTATTTTTTTGAATCCAACATATGTGTTGACAAAACTTAAAATTAAAATCTTTAAGTTGGAATTAAATTTTTTTAGTATAAATTATACTTGATGGAGGGACATCAAAATATTTGAATATTATTATGTATTTTTTTCAACCTTCTAGAAATGTTTATACTTTTATCCTAATAAAATGTTTTAAATATTACCAAAATTTAGAAATTAATTCAAAGATTATTATAATAATACTAATAAATAGATTAAAAAATAATTTAGAACTATTAAAAACTATTAATAATTTTTTTCTCTGATTTTAATATAATATATATACATATATAGATACATATTTATAGTAATTATTTTATATAATAATTTTCTAATTTTTGTCAAAATATTTTTATTGAAATATGATATAAAATATGACTCCAAATTTATAAAATAAACATATCTTAAGTTTATTTATTTTTCACATAAAGTTTTCATGTCTAGAATTGAAGAATTGATCTCATATTTTGTAAAATATGTAAAAAATAAAAATCACTATTTGTGCCACATGTTTTAAATATATTCTTGAATTCATTATTTAAATATGAATATTTTATTATATTACAAATATGTTTATGATCTTTTTAGTTTATAAATTCAAAATAAATTAATAAAAATAAACCTTTCACTAAAAAAAACATTCAGAGGATTTGTAATTAATTTTTAACATTTTAAATTTAATTGCACAGATGTGTTTTCAATCTTTTCTTTAGACCCTCATAGTAATTATAGTGCAATTGATTAATACTTCATTGCTACATTTTCAAACTTAATTATTGCCCTGCAATTGAATCACTAAGAATTCAGTTCAATGAATTGCAGAGAGAGCAGCGAATCCCGACCTAGTCTTGTTGGTCACAACTAGAACCACCACAGGCAATACCGTCGGGTGGGCTGTGGCTTGTGAGCGAGATCAATGGAGTCGTGCCATTGCTGGGCGTGTGAATGTGGCGCCACGGCATTTGTCTGCCGAAGCTGAGACTCTCTTGTCTGCTACTCTCATTCATGAGGGTATGCATGTGTTGGGTTGTCATCCACACGCCTTTGCTCACTTTCGAGATGAGCGCAAGCGGAGGCGCAGAGAGGTGGTGGCACAAGAGTTCGACTCCAATTTGAGGCGAATGGTGACGCGAATCGTTTTGCCCAGGGTGGTTGCGCGTTCACGGCAGCATTATGGGGTATGTATCGACCTCTTGCAGCTGCGTCTCAGTTTCGTAAGTTTAGGAGCTGGGAAGGAAACGTTCCAAACGTCAATGCTTGTTCCCTTCATGAATCTGAATGAACGATTCTTTTTGAATGATGGCAGGCTTACTCCAAGGATTTCAGTTGATTAGAACTGGAAGATGGTGGAGGGAGAGGGACGGCGGGGTCGCATTGGGAGAAGCGATTGTTGATGAATGAAATAATGACAGGGTCTGTGGACACAACGTTAATGAAATACCAGAGGACGAAGTCTGGAATCCGTCACTGGCCGAGAAAACAAAATATGGACCTTTAAATGATTACTAAGCAAGCCAAGCAATTGTGATTAAAGCTAGATGAGTCTTTGTTTGCTTAGATTTGATTGTACTTAGAATAAATCAGAGTGATTGATAGTTCTTATATGTGAAACAAATGAAATATTCATGAATATATCCATTGAAGTGAAAATGCATGTGTATTGTGGATGGCCATAATTGCATTAGAATCCCAATACTTGCTATGTTTATAAAACCACTGCATGTTATCAATTCTTAAAATATCCATGTACATCACATTATATATAGTCTCAAAATAAAATCTAATCAAGATCATCTTATTTAAGAATGTATTAAAAATTTATCCTACTAAAAAAATTAATATCAATTATATCCTTCATATCATAGCTCTAAAATATGGACTTGATTTTGGATATTCAAATACTATAAATAAGTCATTTCATCTTAATTTGGTGTTTTTAGAACATTATGTTATCAAAGCAATGAAAAATATAACAAGAATTGAAGCTACATGTAAAAAATTGACTAATTATGAACAAAAACTCAGTTAGCTTTTTACGAGATGAGAAACTAGAATTGTACTCAATCATAAGTTGGAAGAAAAAGGTAGCAATTGAAAGCAGTTTGCACATTGAGAGGTTCCAATGTTAAGAAAAAGAATTTTAAAAATGGCAAAGTCTAAACCATTCTTGAGTGGTATTAGAAAAAAAAGATATTATTCAACTTGTTAAATAATTTTGAATAAATTTTTTCCAAATGATAAAAAAATTGTATAAGTCTTTATTTTATCATCTTATTAATTCATATTTGGTTTGGTAAATAATATCTATTATTTCTTGTATAAAATAATTCTTAGTAGAATGATTTAGTGTTTATAAATTATTTTTGGATCTTTTAAAAATTTAATACTTAAAAATATAATCAAAAATATGTTTTTAAAGTATTTTTTGAATTTAAAAATACTTTATGTAGACTAAATTTGATGCTTATACATGTAGTAGTACTATCCACTCAAAACTCTCTCATGTTGCAGATTTATTGTTTCTTGTCTACAAACTAAATATTATTATATTCAACTCTTCCATTACTTAAAAATCTACTACTTATATCTTTGTAAAATTCTACACTCATTAGTTTATACTTAAACTCCTTTTTTCTTAATGTATCAAATTAATTTATCTCTATATTTTTTTATTCTAATAATTTTTGCTTTGTAGTTTTAATTTTTTGTAATTTTTTAATATTTAGAACGATTTTAATAAAAATTCTTTAATGTTTTTTTATTTATAGATTTTTTCTATTTTTTTTAAGTTGATTCTTGTGATATTTTTGTATTACCTTATATTATAAAGATGAAATGTTTTATGTAAATTTGGTTATTGTACTTATATTAATTTTTTAAAAGTCAAGAAATTTTAAATCTAATAAAAAATTAATATTATTATCTTATTTATATAAAAATTCGTAATAATACAAAAAAATAGATCTTTTTCAAATTTGGCTATAAATCTTCTAAATAATAATAAAAAACCATCTTAAATTCTAATTTATTTACGTTTATATTAAACTTTTGTTTTTAATTTTTTTGTGTATTGTAAGATCATGTCATATCTTGAACTATCTTACTAATCTACTTAGGCTCCAAAATTTTAAAATTACAAAAAAAAATGTAGAATCTAAAAATTTATATAAATGTTGGAAATTGAATGAACTATTAGCTTAAAAAAAATTATATCAATCTAACAAAAAACAAATCTAAAATCATAGAAACCCACAATAATCTTTAAAATCTTATTTTTAAAATCTTAATCACTTAAATATTAATAATCTTTGATCTAACTATTTGATTGAGCTTAACTTTCTAAATTATATCCAAAAATAATACAATTGCTTATAGATTATTTTATAAAAATTACAAAATTTACCAAAATATAACGACTTTTTTATTCTACAAAAAAAAAAATGTCATCTAAAAAAATACTAATTTTGTAAAGCTCTCACAAAATCATTATCCTCTCAAAACATTCAAATTCACCACTCAATGTCAAAGACAAGAACTCGATGAAAAAATAATTCAGACAAGTGAGCCTTCACTCAAAGAGAGGTAAAAAAATATATATAAACAAGTATATATATTGAAAGAGAAAATGGAATGGCTATTGCAAAAAGACAAGAAAACTAGAGATCCTTGAAACTAGACTAGAAGCAAGAAAGGAGTTGACAAGAGTGAAGAAGCCTTCACTCTTATCTCTATATATACTATCTAATTAGTGGCTACGTGGCGACGTTCTATAGGACCTCCAATATGTGTTGACTTTGTAGGATACATGCTTTGACTTACAAGGCAAGTTTTTCTACGTGTGGGCCACATAATTAGCTTGATCTTCAAGCTAACAACATGTGTGGCACATGGCCAACTTGTTGACCACGTTTCTAATCCAAAAAGTCAATTAAAGACACCTATGAAGTCAAAGCAGTGTCTATGAAGCTTCTAAAAAGCTTCCATATTAAATACTATAGAATTAACTTACTTTTACCTACTTTTACTTACTTCTACCTATTTGTATATATAATTACTAGCTTATCTGATTATGTTCGTGACATTACTCCCCCTTCTAGGGACGAGTTCCACGAGGAGCGGTCATCATATGTTGAGAAAATCTATGATGCGACGAATTGTATTCGCCACATACTCTAATCTTTATTCTCTTTGAAGATGATTGATAGGGCCTCTCAACCATCGGTAGTGTTCCATACCAGGGCGGGAAGACCACCCAGTTATTTGATCATTGTTGAGGCCTTCATAACTTCCTTCGAATAGAATATTTGGAATACCATCAAGAGTTGTTCCTACCTCTAGCACAATCACCAAACATCGGGAGTCCCTTCCCAAATTGTGATACCAAACGCGTTGTATCTCGCCATCTATTCGAGGAAGAACATGTCATTCTTGAAGATCTTCATCTCGATTGCGTCGACTTGAAGGTTGTAACAATCGTAATGTCTCGTCGGATAGGTCAGCAAATAAAGGTTCTTGAGTCGAATCCGCTGGTTGTTGGTTCTCCATCTCCTGAGCGTCACTACTACAAAGAAGCTACGAACAAGAATTGAAAGTAGAATGTTATCTTGCCTAGATGTTGTTTCTTTTATAAAGAAGGTTTTCATCTTGATTTTGATGGATGTCGTCAATGAAAAGCCTCCACCGCCTTTGCTGCATTTGCAAGATTCTTTATTGGCTCCTATGTACATTCACTAATATCATATCCATGCCAATAGACAAGATATTCTAATTTATTTCGGCGCCGCCTTGAATCTAAGACTTCTTCTACTTCAAACTCTTCATTATTGTCCACTTCTATAGAAGGAGGTAGAGCTTGTCGTCTTCTTTGTATGTCCACTGTCTTGTATGGTTCAAGAAGAGACACCTGGAATACTGGATGGATTTTCATTGACTTCAGTAGATGTAAACGATATTCAACTGGATTGATTTGTGCAGAAATAGAAAATGGTCCTAGCCTTCGATAGTCCAACTTATCACAAAGACGAGTAGTCTTGATATTACGATGAAGTAGCCATACCTTATCACCCAAGATGAATGATGGTTGTTCCTTTCGATAGACATCCACATTGACCTTTTGTTGTTCTTGAGCCTCTTTTAACTACCCCTTCATCGTTGCATGTAGCTTTGATAAATGAATTGCCAAATCTTTCGCAGCAGGATTATCAACTTTTGAAAAGTCAAAAGTATCAAGTCATGGATAATAACCATAATTAACAAAGAAAGGTGTTTGTTTTGTAGAAGAATGTATTGTGTTATTGTAAGCAAACTCTGCCAATGACAAAAGAATTGTCCAATCATCTTATTGGTAATTAATGGTACATCTTAAATATTGCTCCAAAACTTGATTAACACGCATCGTTTGTCCATCAATTTGAAGATGGAATGTCGAAGATAGTTTTATATCCACTTTAAGAATCTTGAAAAGAGTCCGCCAAAATCTTGATACAAATTGAGTTCCCCTATCTGATATAATATCCTTGGGTAATCCATGATAGCGATAGATATTGTCAAGAAAGAGCTTAGCTGTTTCTTCACCTGTGATAGATTTTGTACATGATACAAAATATGCCATCTTGGTAAAATGATCTACTATTACAAATATAGAGTCATAAGAACCTGAGATTGGAAGATCCATGATGAAGTCCATAGAAACAGAAGACCATGATTGTTTTGGAATGGGTAATGGGTGAAGAAGTCCAAAAGATCGATGACAAGGAGTTTTTGATCTTGAGCAAACATCACATGATTGTACAAAATCTTTCACTGCCTTCCACATTTGAGGCCACCAAAAATCCCTAGATATCAGCTCCAAAGTCTTATTATATCCAAAATGTCCTGCTGCTGGGAAGTCATGACGAGCTTGAAGAATACGTAAACGTGCTTCTCCTTCTGGAATATATAGGCATCCTTCGAAATAGAGTAGGTTGTTTTTGAATTCAAATTTAGAGGGATCATGAGATTTAGAAGAATTATTCTTGATATCATGAACAAGAGGGTCTGAAGACATATTTAACTGGACTTGCTTTAGAAAAGTTAAATCAACAGTCAATGTTGATTTTATTGCTCGAAGATGAAATTGCTGTGGCTTCAAGAGAACCGTTTTTTGTTACTGAAAAGCTGCATCTCCTTCTCTTGGTACAAGATAAGAACATCTAGACAAGGTATCGGACAAACCTTGTTGTTTTCCTGGCCGATAAGTGATGATGAACTCGAATCTTCATAAAAACATGCTCCAATGCGCTTGGCAACGATTTAATACACGTGTTGACATAAAATATTTGAGGTTCTTGTGATCCGTATACACGATGACTAGACTAGAAGCGCCTTCTAGATAATGACGCCATTCTTAAAAAGAATCCACAATTATAAGAAGTTCTTTGTCGTAGATCTTATAATTGATTTCTAATGTTGAGAATTTTTTTGAATGAAAGGCTACTGGATGAAGTTTGTCATCTGTTCCCATTTGTGATAAAACCGCACCCAGTGCAAAGTCCGATGCATCTGTTTCCATAAAGAACCCTTTGAAAAAATCAACACGATAGAGGATTGGTGTAGAAACAAACACTGTCTTCAAAGATTCAAAAGCAACTTCCGCTT